GAGTGTTTATTTTAGGAAGACAACATCTGTGTTTGAACCAGCAACACCACACCCGTAATCTGATGAACTGAAGCCCACACACAGAAATTCAGTCTTCCTTCCACATACTGGTTCACCTGCCTGCTTCGTGTAATGTGTACAGTATACATTTTCAGGACAAGTTGCATACATCTAAGCAAGGTAAAAATTAACAAATGAGGAAATAAAATGTTTTTCAGCAAAAAGTCTCTGTTTAGGAATCCTTTTTCACATAATCTCCTTATAGCCAAATATTACATTTTACTGGTTCATAAAATATGGGTATGAATGAAAGGCCCCGAAAAGTAAAATAAAAACACATACAAAATTAGTCACTGCTTATGAAAAACAAGAAACCAAAATCTTTTCAGTGAATCCGAGAATGACTCACCTAAAAGGTACAGATTTGACTAACTAATCGCTTCTGCCTACCTGATAATGAAGACTAATTCACTTGAAATTATATCAGGATATCTCCTCTTTAAGTTCTGAAGAACTGTAAGAAATAACTGGGAAAACCTACTAAGCCTCCACCTGGCTTTTATAAAGACGATCACAAAAGCCATTCAAAGAAAAGCCCCTGCCCCCAAGCTTCTGTAACATATTGGAAAAAATATTTAAATGTCTCTAGATGCATAGAGTTGGAAGTTTTTTTTATCCCCACTAAGGTAGAGCCTAAATTCCTCCTCCTGAAATTCAAAATAATGTAGGTCAATGTCACCCAAAAGAATTTTCTCTGCCAGAACAGCTGGAACAAACTGCATCCGAGTCCACTGTTCCCTTGGCACTACTGCACCATACCAGTAGTTTGCCTTTCATGTTAAAGACTCATAATATCATAGACTCCTTACACAGTGATCAAATGTTACCTTGATTTGTTTTACTCTAAGGGTACGGTTATTGGACAAACAGAAAAATAAACACTGAGGAACAACCGCAGGTGACAGTGTTAGCTTTCCTTCTATGTACAAGTCAAACCTTTTCAACAGCACCTCCACCCTCTCAAGTAAATGGGTCTTTATTTACTCTTAGAACAGGGGTGAGGGGTGTCCGGCCCATGGGCTGTATAAGGCCTGAGAAATCATTTGGTCTGGCCCTGCCAAGGCATTAGGGAGTTAATTAAATGTTTGGCCAAATATAACAGGCTAATTTTTAGGTTGATAATTGTGTATGGCCCGAGAATGATGTTACAGATAGCTAAATGGCCCTGGCAGAACAAAGGTTCCCCACCCCTGCTTTAGAAGTAAAACCCATTAGAAGCCCAGATGCTCAGTGACAGCAGGCAGAAAGTCCTGTGGAGGGTCTGATGCCCTTTCTTCCCCAAAACATTCTTAGTGACGTTATAGTTTCCCGGACCACAACCAAGGTGGCTGGATGCCCTAAATGCAGGTCTCCGTGCTGAGTTAATTTATTCATGACAGAGACCACATCAGCCTTTCAGCTCCCAGGGCAGAAGCCAGCTCTCTCTCTCTCTCTTCTCATTTGAACTAAAGAAATAGCAAAGTTGTCAGGATCTAAAAAGTTGTCATTTTACATCAGGAGGAAAGAGGTGACTCAATACCCAGTGTGAGAAAAAATGTTCCCGCTCCCTGGAAGTCTGTCATCATTAGCAGCCGCTGGGAGAGGCCGCTGTGATCCCGCACACTCGAACCCAGTTCACAGCCCTGCTCCCCAGCACTGCTGTGTGAGATCTTGCTGAGGAACCCCCTGTCACATCGGATATAGCAGGAACTTCGCCGCCTTTACAATATAGCCGTGCCGTGTCTGTATTGATTGAATCAGGCTGGATTTAATAAAGGCTCTGATAGACGTGGTGACGGGAAAATGAGCACAAATACTGCAAAATGAGTGCTCCTTTGTCACTTTGGTTTCTAGAGCAAGTTTCTGGCTTACTTAGGAGCAGGGGAGATTTTAATAGAATGTAAGGGGTTTTTTATTTTTTCTATTTGCATATCCATTAAGTGTATTTTGGATGTACTGAATGTTATAGGAAAGTTTAAAAATAAGAACTAACAAGGGTTTCTGTATAAACACTTACTCAGATTTTCTGCCATCACTACTATGATGAACTGCCCTTGTTTTACTATTGCTGATGGTCATCCCCTTAAGTAAAGTAGGAACATATGGAATGTTACATTGGGAAGAAACTTGTTTTCGTTTTTCCTTGGTTACATGTGAAGCTCATTTAAATATTTCTTGGGAAAGAAATGAAGGATGAGCTATGGTGCCACCTTTCATTCACACGCCACTTCATAGAAATAGTCTCCTATTTGCATATATATTCCCTTTAACTTTTGTGACTTGGCAGAATATCTGTAGACCATAAGTGACTTTTGCTGAATCTAAAACTACAGAGATGTTCAAAACAGACACTAGAAAGTGCTGAGTGGGTAAATGACAAAAAGTGTTGAAATGTCAACATCTCTACTTAGTACCAGTGTAAGATAACTACAGGGAAAATAATTACTGCTCATACACGTTATTTAATATCCCTCAACTTTCACTTTGGATTAGGTATGTACTCTCTTTAAAGGAGGGCTTATATACATGTTGGCCTTTGAAAAGTGGTTCACTCTTTCAAACAGCATCATTTCCCACATGTTACATCCAAACAATGTTAGTTCACTTACACAAGAAGCTGACCAGTAAGATCTATTCTATTTGAAAAGTATAACTGAATATTAAAAGGCCTCCTAGGACACCAAAGCAATCATTAAACATAAGTGTATCTGGAGAAAGGGATCTAAACAATCGAGTTCAACCCTGTTGATCCAGTAGGTGCTCTCAGCTTCGGAACTCAAGAAACTGAAAGCAAAAACAGCACCTTTCCAATGAGCCTATTTCCAAATAAAAGAACAAATTGAGCAACTACATGTCAACCCGCAGGGCATTCACCAACACCAAACAGAGGTACTGGTTCTTTTTATCTTTTAAAACTATCAACTGTCAGCGTAAAGAATGTTTGGATCTGGCTTAATGAAACTTTTTACAGTACCGAGTATTAAGAACTGCTAATGAATATGCATATTGATAAGGGATATTCTCTCTTTTATAAAAGTTTCCCCTTTTGGTCAAGTGATCTATTCGACCTGAGCACAGCATGTTTTAATTGTGAATGTTTAGCGTGCATATTGATAAGGGATATTCTTTCTTTTATAAAAGTTTCCCCTTTGGTCAAGTGATCTATTTGACCTGAGCACAGCATGTTTTAATTGTGAATGTTTAGCATACTAAGTATTAGTTAAGCAACTCTCCAGTTCAGCGGTGGTCCACAGACCACTGGTGGTCCGTGAGGTTTGAAAGGTTGGCGCACTAAGTATTAGTTAAGCAACTCTCCAGTTCAGCGGTCACTGACCACTGGTGGTCCGTGAGGTCCGAAAGGTTGGTGACCACTGCTCTAGTTCACTCGAGGAATCCTAAGGCTCAAGTCAACTCCGTGTAGCAAATGCCAACAATCAGTGTCCAGCACACAGAACTGCAGAGCAACATTCCTTCTGCTGCCATTTCCCTGGGCTGTGTCCAAAAGAGGGACGGCAAGTTTCTGGCTCTGGCTGGGTAGCTCAGTTGGTGAGAGAATTGTCCCAATACACAGGTTTGTGGGTTTACTCTCTGGTCAGGGCACATACAAGAAGCAACCAATGAATGCATAAATAAGTGGAACAAAAAAAATGATGTCTCTCTCTTCTCTCTCTCTCCTCTTCTTTCCTTTCCCTCTCTATAAATCAATAAATTAAAAAAAATTTTAAAAGAGGAACAAGTTTCAAAGGAGCAGGCCAAGTATTATTACATAAACCCTTGTTTCCCAGAATTAAAAACACTTACTTTGCCTTCAGCGTCTCCTCCTGAAAATTCCAGTGTGGATCTTCCACCAGTTGTAATTCCCTCAATACCCTCCCAGGCTTGTAAGCTGCATTGATTATCATGCTAAGAACCTGTTGGGGAGAAAAATAAACAAAATGAACTTCAATTGTAGCCATTCTCGCTAACACCAGGGGGCTCTGAACCCCCTGCTGACACAAGAAGCATTTGCTCTGCATCTCCTTTCAGTGAAGGGCTGGGGAGAAGGTCCACAGGGCATTCTGCAGGCTGATCTGCGGGAGAAAAGGATGGCAAACTCTAATCTCTCTGCTGACGAGAGGGGGTGGCACACTCTCACTAACATTCTTGGTTGCAGAAAAATTGAACTATGTCTTCCAATGTGTGTGTGTTCTGTTCTGTGGAGGTGGCTCTAGCTCCTGGTGACCCTATGAATGAGTGATGGCCACAATGTCCTGTCTCAGCTCCTGCAGACCCAAGCCTACAGCTTCCAAAGAGCCAATGGTTGTTATTCAACAGTCACTCTTCAGTAGGACTGGCTACTGACAATTTCATTTTATTCTTAAAAATAAATTTCAAAAGGCACCAATCAGAGAGGGACAACAGGTTCATGCCAACACTTCTGGATAGACTTCAGATGCAACAATTATGTGAAACTCACCTGATGCTGCCCCAATGTATGGATATTTCATACTAGGCCAATTCTCTCAGAGAGGGCGGTGTTTCAAAAGGAAGTTTGGAACACCCAAACACATCTAACATCTTATTTCCTCAAATGACCCCTTCACTTCCAAGTCCCAAGTCCAACAAAATGAGCATATTGTCACTGTCTACTATGACACCCCCAGACAGACCATACCCATCCCTTCTAAAGTCTCAACTGCGTGCTCTGGGGAGATGGCATATCCCTGTTCATCTTTGATGTGTTTTTCAAATGAAAAGACAAAGAATTTATATCCCTTGGGGCCTGCACCTTTCCATAAGCAAATCTTTATTAACAATGAACATTTATAAGTTCTGGCATGTTCATGAGTTGCTGCTATAATGGGGGCACTGCCCTTTATCTTTCAGAGAACTGAAAGAATGTGAAGGTGCAACGCTGCGTACAAAGAGACATGAGACCTATGGTTCAGTTCCATGCAATGCCCACTGTCAAGATCTGCCATGGACCAGGCCTGGGAGCACACGCAGGAGCAGGCCACAGCACCTGCTGCTCCTGGAGTCTCCCCCAGTCCAGAAGAGCACAAGCCAGGCACTGAGCTCATTCTTCATGTTTCAGAGCAAAACAACATCAGAAGAGTGATAAACATATCTTATTGAGATGGGACACTGGCATCACAGCCAAAGCACTGCCTATTGTCTTCACTAGCAGAGAGGTGTGGACAAGGAACCCGGAAGGCTGGTGATCCTTGAAGCCCTTGCAAAGGTCAGGGCTGTGCACCCACTGTTAGTCTAGACAATGGTAGCTGAAGCAACTTCCCCATTTACTATTATGTAAATCCTTGCTGATGGGCTAGTCTGCCTGTTACTGGAAATTGCCTGCCTAAGGGCTATGGGTGTATCCCAAACCAATAAAAGGTTGGCGAGGCCTGAGCACCAGTGGAAGTCCTTCCCCTTGAGTTGGACTTACCCACCTGGCTCCCCAATATTTCCAAATTATCTCTTGTTTCTTCTCTTTCATTTGTGTGCGGCTCCTCTTCCAGATCCTGAACCCTGAACCACGTGGGACGTGGGGGGAACAAACTTTACACAAAGCACCTACTATGTGTTGGAGGAGCCCAGCCCAATATCAACAGGAAGGAAGGAGATGCAAGTATGTTAGAAGAATTTTCATGTTTCAGTTTTCATGTATCTGATGTGTTCCCGAATATAACTGGCATGGTTTGTACCCTGATTTAATTCCAAAAGACAATAAAGCTTTCTCATATTAAAACTGGGGATTTGACCTTAAAACATTTTATACTATGCAGTCAGCATGGCAACTCTCTTTTCTTTCCTGAAGTAGCATTTTCCAGGGCCCTGTGACTCCCCATAAAGAAAATGGGCTTCATCCAAGGCACTAAGAGGCCAGGACAAGGCAGAACAAGCAGCTTTGGTGTATTTATGTTTTCTCTATTAGAATAATCATCTGATTTTATTGTTTACTGTCAGTACAATTTACAGAGACATGGTTTAAAAATAAATCCAATTAGAACTGGCTGAAATAATGTGCAAAGTGTTTATCAACGGACAAGAAAATTTCAACTGATTCTTTTCATCGTGTTTTACTGAGGAACCCCCGCAGCTACATGTTATTTGCTGCATATCAAAATGCATTTTGTGGCTGTGAAAAGAAAATGCCTTCCAGAGTTCAGTTCAGCCTGGAGACAGGCAGCAGTTAAATCATAAAAAGCATCCGATATTGAATAACTGTCCCATGACTTTTCCCAATGCCAAATCATTCATCTCTGAATTCAACCCTATAAAACTTTGGAATTATGAGCTGAGCAACTTCTGTGTACATGGCATCTTGGTGTATTGTTGTTACATGCATGCCAATGACCAAATTGACAGCTGTTATCATTACCCATAGTTAGACTGCATGACTGCACCCCGCAAAACATCGGAATGCAGCTCATGGTGAGGCTCTTGACCAGAAAGGGGAGCATGGACCCTGTCTCCAATGAACTAGCAGGACATAATTCATGCTGGAGCAATGCCTCGCTCGACTTCTTAGAGTTCACGAATTGTTTGTTGAGAACATAACTTCTATGCAGAAGCCCCCACACTGTGTTATACAGCAGAAAGGCAATAACCTTCGTATTGGATAGATCCCAGATCAAATCCCAGTTCCATCCCTTAGAAGCTGTGAGTCCTTAAGCAAGATGCTTGATTACATTTCCCCCTGTGTATAATGGGGGCACTGCCCTTTATCTGGTTCATAATGAAGGGGGTCAGAATAGGCCACCTCAAAATATGCCACTTGGACATTGGATTACTTTGCAGAGAAGGCAAGTGAGAAACAGCAGACGCTGCCCTCCGCTTTCAGCCAGGAGCAGGGCTTCAACTTCCCCCTGTGAAGGCGTCGGTCTCCTCTCTGCCATACCAGAAAGAGAACAACCCTCCTCACTGGGGAAAGAAAGATGGCACAGAGATGACTCTGCACAAACAAACCTTAGGAGAAGAGCCCTTATCTTCCAACTGTTTACCCTGCAAATCCACCTTCCTGCAATACCACCCCTAGAAGCCCCAACCCCTTTTCCTGTGCTATCACCTCTCCATAATTTACTGCCTTTTGTTAAAATGGTATGGAGAAATCTTTCCCTTCTTTTTTGTGAGGCCTGTGTGCACTCAAAATAAACCCTTACTCTGTCTTTTGTCAGTTTCATTTGCAGGCCCCAGCTACTGAATTTAAGAGGAAAAAATTTTCATTTTTTACGACAGGGGTATTTTGAGAAATAAAGGAGGGAGTAATTTTGCGTAGCAAAATATTTAAAGGTAGCCCTCTTCCTAACAGCAATGCAGCCCTCTCATCAACCCATAATCTAAACTCTCCTGTGCTCTTGGCCTCTCTCTCCCCATTGGCCCGTACTGGTTAGACTGCATAGTCCTTTCACTCTGTCTCCTTGCACCTTTGCAAAATAACTTGCCTTAGAAGCTCCTTGACTTTCTTTTTACTGCTTCCTCTTCAGAACCAAACATCTCATAAAAATAATTTATACTTTCAAATTATTCATCTTCAATTCAATTCTCAGCCTACCCAAATATAGTTTCCTCTCTAGCCACTACACAGAAATGCTTGGCGAAAGGGCCCCAGTGACCTAACGTTAAATCGAGTGTGCGCTTCCGTCTTTCTGGAACTGGCCGCAGGCTCACAGTGCACCCCACTCTCAGTCCTGCAAGGCCGCTTTGCTCTCCTCCCTCTGCTCCATCAGCCTCAGGGTTTGTTCAGAAAATAGTGAGTGGGTCAGGGTATGGGGAAGAGGCGAGGAATAACTAGAGGGAGGACTAGACAAAGAGGAGGAAAGAGCATAAATGCTCTTAGCAGGGGAAGGAGCGAGCTCTGCAGCGGTGTTTGGTACACAGGCCCTACTCAGTGAGTGTCAGCTGCCTTCTCCCGCTCCTCCCCCTTCATGTACAAAGGTAGCACTCAAAATACTGTGAAAATCGGTGGGATTTTTTTTTCCCGTTCACCTCATGAAATTAGGCTAAACCATGATTTCCTTTCATATTCGCTCTTGTGAAAAGTTTTCCCCCCCAAAACAAAAATTACTCAGATAATTTCCAACCTCAACTGTATCCCATGCTTAAATTATAACTATGTTGAAAGTGCAGGGAATCCCTTAATATAGACAAATTAAATCTTTAAGTGTCAAAATTAGAAAATACTTCAGAATGCAAGTATGGCTCCCACAACCTGGGTTCAGCTGGTTTAGTGGGAAGATGACAGACAGATTGAAGGTTTGCAATGTGTTGAATTCTAGTGGCCGGGGGAGAAGTGTGCCTGGGGTAGACTTTCGGAGACAGACGGTCCACAGGACACATGAAGGAGACTATCTGCTCTGATGAAAAGGAGCTCGGCGCCCCCTCACGCATTCACTGTTCCAACAGACCTTTCTGCTTTGCAGTCTGTCCAAGGACCATGCTTATAATAATTACCTGTTTACAAACTCAGGATCATCAAAAGCTCTCAAGGCCTAAAACAGCGGTTCTCAACCTCTGGGTCACGACCCCTTTGGCGGTCGAACGACCCTTTCACAGGGGTCGCCTAAGACCATCCTGCATATCAGATATTTACATTACGATTCATAGCAGCAGCAACATTACAGTTATGAAGTAGCAATGAAAATAGTTTTATGCTTGGGTCACAACATGAGGAACTGTATTTAAAGGGCCAGAAGGTTGAGAACAACTGGCCTACAAGGTTTCTTCTTTTCAACCTCAAAATCAGATGGAACGGAGCTAACTTTATGAATACCTTTTTTAAAGTCAAATGATAATTTTTTTTTTTTTTTTTTTTTTTTTTTTTACTTAATAAGCACCACTTTACCAATAGGGTTTCGCTCATGAATGGGATCTTATGTGGAAAATTCAAAAGGAATAAAATGAGTTAAGATTCAGATTTCAACAGCTGGCC